CACCAGCATTTTGCAAAGGCTCCTCCGGCATCTCCCCGTAAATCCCAACTCAGGTTGAAGTCTCTGCCCACGTGCCCAGCGCCCGGCTCACACAATTCTTTTTTTTTTTACCCCATCAGCAACGCACGCAGCAGGGACACGCACCCGCGGTGTGCACCTCATCCAGCCTTTCTGCTAGAGCATCCCACCAGCGGCAGAGCCCCAAACCCACCCGGGGCACACGCCACGCACGTGCAAAATCACCTCCATCCCTCACGCGCGCAGACAGCCTGAACACGGTCCTGCGCTCACAGGTGTCCCCATTGAGGCACCCGCCTACCAGAGCCTCGGGCACCCGAGGAAGAGGAGGGCTCTTCCTCTCGGATAGACCACAAAGGGCATCGCCCCACGCGAGCCGAGGAAGAGGAGGGCCGCGGGGAAGCATCCCGACTTGCCCGAGAGAAAGGTGCCCGCTGCCCCGTGGCACCGGCACCCAGCAGCCCTGGGAACGGTAAAGGCAGCGCCGGGGTGGAGGAAGGCTCCCAGCAAGGGTGCGTTTATGGGGGAAGCTCTTAAATAAAAATAAAACCAAGCTGCAGGAGCTCCCCCGGCCCCGGCCCTTCAGGGCAGGCTACAAAGGGCGAGGGCAGAGCCGGGGAGGAAGAAAATGATCTGGAGCAGGTGAGGGACAAACCGGACCAGGACGAGGAGCGATGGCGGGGCCATCGGCGTGAGCGATGCCTCCAGCCCCGAGGGATGCAGCACCGGGACATGAGCCCCTGTGCGTCTGCTCTGTGCCGGACCCCGAGAGAAATTTTCCAGCTGAGTTTGCCTGAAGTCAGACTGGAGGTTGCTAAAGGTCTCTTCTGGCCTTTGAATAATCCAGAGGGGAGGCAAAAAAGTCACAGTGCCTATCAAACAGGAGGGAGGAACTCAGATGCTGCAAGTTTTCCCAGACTCCGTCATGTTTGTGCAAAAATTCATCCAGAAAACACTATTTAATGCGCTCCCTGCTGCACATTAATGCTTTCCACTGCAAATCCCATTTCTATGCAGGAAGAAGCCTGGTTTCCATCCAGAAATTATGCTGCTCACGAGGAGGGAGAAGAAAAAAGGCGGAGAGGGGGGAGAATTATCCTTGGGCATTTTCAAACTCCTGGTCTGAAGTCCATTTTTTTTGCATCCAAATCAGAGGCAAGCACGACCCGAGGCCAGCTCCGTCTCGTAGCCACCGCCAGAGCCGGTCTTGGCACTTTCAAACAGCCTTCCTGATTTTATTTCTGCACAGCTCAGCTCCGTCTCGCACGGACCCAATGTCTCCCGGTCTGCCCGGGTGCCCGGCACCCCCCCAGCAGCCTCGGCACCCATGTGGAGCAAACCGCAGCCCCGAAGACGAACACGGCTCCCGACAGCCCTGACATCTCTGCTTAGAGCAGCGACTGGAATAACACGAGCAATTTCTCCAGTGCTTTCTTAAAAGCTGGGAAGCGGCGTGCTCAGCAAAGAGGCTGGGCTGTCCGGGGGTCTTGTACGGGGAATGGTGATGAGCGGCCGCCAGGCCACACCGCCCGCACCTGCGGAGGGGATCGGGAAGGTGCATTTAAGATTTCGGGTGCTCAGGAAGAGGGCAAGGCTCAGCAGAGAGGCACAGAGCATCTCTCCAGCCGGGAGAAGTGTTTCCCCACGCAGACCCTGTGCAAAGCCAAGAGGTCACCAGGGTCCCCCCGTGCTCCTTCTCCGGGTGCTCCGGATTAGCTGTGTTCAGCCCCCACGTCCTCGTCCCGGGGAGAGCATCCCCCTCCAGCACCCTTCGCTGGGGAGTCCGGGCGGGTGATGCTTCGCCCAGCGCACCCACGGCTGCAGATGCAGCAAGAGCTTCTCCCCTCCGTTCCCGGCGGGATGGCAGCACACCTCCGCGGTTTCAGCATCCCTCTGGACCGCTGCCAGGCCAGCAACACGGGAAGGTGATCTGGTCCCACAGCATCACTTTGGTGTCACCCACAGCGTTCCCAGGCCGTGCCAATCCATCCAGGCTCCCGAGCCCCGTGCATCCCCAGAGCTCAGCCCTTACCAGACCGCACATCGGGACACAGCATCTTCCCGAATCTGGGCAGCACATCCCTGCTTTATGGATTGGGAATAGAGCTATGAAAGGACAAAGTGAATCGAGGTGATCTGCACCTCCCAAATTCCTGCTCATCCCAGGCAGCGGGCGATGCTTCCTCCTGAAAACAGCGAGATCCCCGAACAAGCCCAGCTTCAGGGTGCAATGACACCCAAGAGCAGCACCCAGGTGGCTGCTGATGCTCCAGGCCAGAAGTGGCCGTGCTGCAACAGCCAAGGAAGCCACTGGCGCCTTCCCGCC